CCACTCCTTCCCCGGAAGCCTCGCAGCTCCATGAGGGATCAAGCCCTCGTTGGCCATGTCGAAGAGGTCTTTTTCTGTGATGGTCGACTGGATCCAGTCTCCTTGGACCCAGCCCTTCGGCAGGCGGGATCTGGACGAAGACCCGCCGCGGCTGGTAGATCTCCCCTTCGCCTTCTCCGACGCCGACGCCTTCTTCGCACGTTCCAGCGCCACCGTCTTCTCCTTGTCCATGGTTGCCGGCGAGATGCGCGTGGGGAAGTTGTGCGGGGGCGAGAGCGAGCGCGCTGGACGGGGACGAAGGGAGCAGAGAGAGAGAGAGAATGTTGAGGCACAGTACAGAAATCCTCGCCGGGCGCATTTATAAGGTCCCTTCCGAGTGGATGACAGGTGGGCCCGGTCGATCTAATCATATCCAGGAACAGTTATGCAGACGGGATACGTGGCGAAAAAAGCGGCACGGAGATCGAGGCGTCTATGTCCCGTCCCATCCGAACGCCGCGGTCCGCCCCGCTTCGCGCGCGTCCCCAAATTTCGCATCCCGCGGAATCCGCGAACAGCAGATCAGTCTGTCAGACACGGGGTTTCCGGTGATCCGTCGCTCGGAGATCGTTGAAGCCCGAAAGATCACTCGACGCAAGAATAGAATGGATCGAGTCGACTGAAGACAAGTTGCTCACTGTCGACGAAGAGATTCTTTGGTCCAGACAACGCACGACCAGAGCGCAAAGGTTAATCCGAAACGACATCAACTCCTTCCTCACTCGAAGCCTCAATCCATTCGGGGGCTAATGATGGGGTTATGTACCTAGGGTAGGGTCATGGACCTGATCTAAGTACCTTACCCAAGGACACCCTTAGAAGAAGTCACCTTCCAGTCGACCAACGAGGGACACACTCGACTGACTTGAAGGACTCGACCACGAAGACTCACTCGACCACCAGAAGGTCAAGAGGCACTCTGCACTGCAACGGCCTGTAATTAAGTAGACTTTATGATAGTAAAGGCACTTTATGTGGGGCGTTACCAGTAACGCCCCAGACTTAACTCACCTTAAACCCTCTCCTACGTGGGCTGGCTGGGGTCCTGGCGCACTCTATATAAGCCACCCCCCTCCACAGGTAGAAGGGTTCGGCACCTTGTAACTCATATACTCATAATTCACTCGACCGCCTCCGGGCTCCGAGACGTAGGGCTATTACTTCTTCCGAGAAGGGCCTGAACTCGTACATCCCTTGTGTTTACAACCTCTCCATAGCTAGGACCTTGCCTCTCCATACCTACCCCCCACTCTACTGTCAGGCTTAGAACCACGACAGGGGGTGCACCAGCCCCTTGTGGGCTGGTTAGCCTCCCTCCTATGGCCCATAAGGCCCATATCTTTCCCCGGGGGGGGGGGGGTCCGGTAACCTCCCGGTACTCCGGAAAAATGCCTGAATCATTCGGAACCATTCCGATGTCCGAATGCAACCTTCCAATATATGAATGTTTACCTCTCGACCATTTGGAGACTCCTCGTCATGTCCGTGATCTCATCCGGGACTCCGAACAAACTTCGGTCATCAAGTCACATAACTCATAATACAAATCGTCATTGAACGTTAAGCGTGCGGACCCTACGGGTTCGAGAACTATGTAGACATGACCGAGACACATCTCCGGTCAATAAGCAATAGCGGAACCTGGATGCTCATATTGGCTCCTACATATTCTATGAAGATCTTTATCGATCAAACCACATAACAACATACGTTGTTCCCTTTGTCATCGGTATGTTACTTGCCCGAGATTCGACCGTCGGTATCATCATACCTAGTTCAATCTCGTTACCAGCAAGTCTCTTTACTTGTTCCGTAATGCATCATCCCGCAACTAACTCATTAGTCACATTTCTTGCAAGGCTTTATAGTGATGTGCATTACCGAGAGGGCCCAGAGATACCTCTCCGATACACGGAGTGACAAATCCTAATCTCGATCTATGCCAACCCAACAAACACCTTCAGAGACACCTATAGAGTATCTTTATAATCACCCATTTACGTTGTGACGTTTGATAGCACACAAGGTGTTCCTCCGGTATTCGGGAGTTGCATAATCTCATAGTCTGAGGAACATGTATAAGTCATGAAGAGAGCAGTAGCAATGAAACTGTAATGATCATAATGCTAAGCTAACCGATGAGTCATGTCCATCACATCATTCTCCTAATGATGTGATCCCATTCATCAAATGACAACACATGTCTATGGTTAGGAAACATAACCATATTTGATTAACGAGCTAGTCTAGTATAGGCATACTAGGGACAATATGTTTTGTCTATCTATTCACACATGTACTAAGTTTCTAGTTAATACAATTATAGCATGAATAATAAACATTTATCATGATATAAGGAAATAAATAATAACTTTATTATTGCCTCTAGGGCATATTTCCTTCACGCCATGCCGACCAGGTCGCCTCCACAGACGGTGTCCTGCCTCGCGGCCGCCTCAACTTCGACGGGCGGCGCGAATGGTGGGGCATATGCCCGGCCGCACCCTCGAAACCGTCCTCGAGCACATCGAGTCTGGCAACACGCCGTGCCAGGAGTACCCGGCGCCCACGTCCTTCTCTCGCCGCCGCGGTAGTTTCTGGACGCCGTGGCGAATGGAGACGACGACCTCCTCGCCGTCAGGCTCTGGCTCTCTTTCCTCTGGTTCGCCAGCGCTCCACCCCATCAAGCTGGAGCCGCAGGAGACACCGCTTGGGCGCCGCACCCACGATGGCGCCCTCATCATCAATGAGGGCGGTCGCCCCTCTCCTTCTTCTTCCCGCCTCGTCAGGCCGAAGACCGAGCCGGGTTTGGTCCCCATGAAGAAGGAGCACGAGGCCATGGCCGCCGACGATGAGACCGCCCTCAAGTGGGCGAAGGCGGACTACGTCAGTGAGCAGATGGAGCGTGAGCGCCGCGCCTTGCAGGCGATCGCCGCTCGGCACCGCGGACGCGAGGAGGGCGGCGTCATCATCCTCGACAGCGATGACGAGGAGGCGCCCGGGCCGTCCAAACCCCCGTGCATCGGTGACCCTGGTCAGGGGTGCAGCAGAGACGACTGCGCCACGCAGGACGGTGACGACGATGACAGTGACGACGACTACGGCGGCGGCGACTACACCCGGTTCTACAGGCTCCTCGGCATGTAGAAGGCGGGCGGTGGCATAGTAGTGCTAGGCGTAATGTAGTTTTTAGTTAGTTTTAATTTATGTTTTTAGTTTATGAACAAATATCAATGAAATAGCCGAGTTTGGACGAATTTTCTGTCGTGTTTGGCTGATTTCCTTTTTCAGAAAGGGCGTCTGGGGGCGACCTGGGGGCGGCGGTTGGGAACCCGATCGCCCCCACACCGAAGTTTATCGCTGGTTCGCCCCCAGGCGGCACTTTTTCTAGCCCCTGGGGGGTGGCGAATGGCTGGAGATGTTGTTACCATCGGGATATACAATAAGAAAACCCTTATTTGTGTTTCTTTTCATTAGTGCCATGGATTAGCTTCAATGGATGCTTAAACTATATAGTTTTTAAATTTATATAAACTAAACTATGCTTTCAATTGTAGGTAATGGACTAACACATCATTTACTCTACAGGTAAACGAAAAATATACTGCAAAATTGAGTAGCTAGATTAAAAAACGGATTACATCATTGTGAACGTAAGAAGGTACAACCCTCGCCCTATCTCTTGGCGTGGCCGAAAGGAGGAGGATAACAACGGTGACGGCGACGACGCGGGATCCGATACTTTTTCTAGGGTTGAGATGAGAAGGAGGAGCACCCGCTGTTACGGTAATGACCACAACTACCAACAAGGAGCAATCTCAATGGTGTTGATGATAGCGGTAACATAGGAGTTGTCGCGCTCACGGCAAAGCGGTTGTGACGGTGACCTCACAACGTCACATGCGAGCTAAAAGTGTCGGCCCGAGTTGATTTTCGGTCTCATGGGGCTTTTCTTTAGTTTTCTTTAGAAACTGTTTTTTAGTTTAAAAATGCCAAAAGGTCCTAAAAATAGCACGCGGATCGTGCCGGGCTGGGCTTAAAAAGCACGACCCATATTGGCCAGGTATATTTCCCCCGCAGATGAGACCCCCTGCAACTCTCGAACCGGCCGCGCCGGACGGATAGCCAGACGCGCCGCGAATGCCACGGTCAGGTGATCACCGCACCCTCGCCTCCGGTTCCTTACCTTACTCTTTACTCCGCCCGCGTTAGCTGCATTCCAGTTTGCTCGTCGCCGCCGCTGCGCGAGAGGTCTGTTCCGGTGATAGGGATGCCTCTAAGCCATTGAAATGTCGGAGGAAGCCGAATCTCCTGGCAGCATTCAGAAACGCTGCAGGTTATTGGTCTCGGTAGTCGGTATGGGTGCCTCTTGCTGCTCTGCCCCTGCTAGGTTTCAGGATTTAGCTGGCATACACATCACATTGTAGGTTGCGACTTGTAGTGGACGAGGTCACCACAGGGACTTGTTGATGTGTCGAGCCTTAGCATTTGGTGGCAGTTTTAGTGTTCTAACTATCTACTCTGCAAGTCCTATTTCCAATCGGTGATGTTCTCGGACCATTTGTTCGCTTAACCCACTGTTTGGACCATCGAATTGGCTAAGCTCACGATTTTACCCGTATAGATCCAGTGTAGCCAGTACTTTTGTTTTGCCAGGGTGACCCTACGATTGTCTCCTACTAGTAATGGCCAAATTGCCTTCAGTTTGTTGCTGCTTTTTTTATGCACAATTTAGAAGGACAATGTTGGAGATCGATGAACCGAGCAACTGCTCACTATCATTACTCATGGCACACACAGTTTGTGTTGCGAAGAGGGAAAGCCGAGATGAATTACAAGATTTCCGTGTAGGGCCGTGTCACAATCTGTACAAAAGAACTAATCAGACTAGTGAGCACAGAACTCGCTGCTCTTGCTTATATAAACTATAAGATCTACTCTGCGCATTGCAGCATAATTTGCTATCTACATTGTGAGCTAACTGAATTTTGCTTCTGAAGGTTAGCGTCTATGCTGTTCAGGAAAGATACCACCTCCTGTATGGCTGGCCTCACGCCAGGATTGTGGTTCACACACTGGCAAGCAATTTCAAGCACCTTCATCATCTGCTCTTCATATCCTGTGCCTCGAAGTGTTGGATCCAGGACTTCAATCTGCTTCCCTTTGGATCTCATCTCCTGTACCCACTTGACAAGCTCTTTTGACCTGGGACAGATTTGAACAGGCCGCCTCCCCGTTACCAGTTCAAGCAGGACCACACCAAAACTGTACATATCACCTCTCAATGTAGCCACCCATCCTTGGCCGTACTCTGGGGGGATGTAACCGAGAGTACCAACCAACTCAGTTGTCACATGAGTTCTGTTGGGGAAGATCAATCTGGATAACCCAAAGTCTGCAACATAAGCTTTGAATTCCTTGTCTAGTAGGATGTTGCTCGACTTGATATCACGGTGAACAATGTGAGGCTTGCATACATCGTGGATGTAAGATAGACCCTGGCTTGCTCCTTGTGCAATCTTCAGCCGTATCGGCCAGTGAAGAAATGAGTTGTCATCAGTGTCTCTGTTGTGAAGCCAATCATCCAGGCTACCGTTCTCCATGTAGGAGTATATCAGTAGTCTTGAATCTCCCTGTATGCAGTAACCCCAGAATGGTACAAGATTGTCATGCTCTGCTGTGGAGAGTGCATCAACCTCTGCACTGAATTCCCTTTCCATCAGACACATTTCACTATTGAGCTTTTTTATGGCGACCTTTGAGCCATCAGGTAGCTCAGCCTTGTAGACTAGCCCATAACCTCCACAGCCAATGATATGATCCTTGTCAAAGTTCTTTGTAGCCTTCAGGAGATCCGTCAGTGTGAGTTTGTTTTGTTCTCCCTTGCCTCGTGGAACTATCACCAAGGAGTATTCTGAATTGAGATTTGAAGATGTTGCCTCTATGTCATTGTTGTTGTTGCTCTGCCTTTTGCTCATGAAGTTTGTACCCCTGAGCAAGAAAAGGAGACGAGCCAGCAAGAAAAGAACGGCCACCCCTCCAAAAAACACACCAAATGCAAGTGCAAAAACACCCTTCTTTTTCTTTCTTCTCTGGGTGATCAGAGGTGTTTCAGCTGAGCCGCAATGGTTCACAAGCATATGACCGCACAATTTTGGGTTGCCATCAAAGCTAGAATTTGGAAACGTGCTAAGCTGGCCCACAGCTGGAATAGATCCTTCTAGGTCATTATTGGAAATGTTGAATTTCGAAAGGAAGTGCAGATTGTTTAGTGCAGCTGGAATTGTACCAATGAGATGATTACCAGACAAGTCGAGTGCCTGCAGGTTCGTGAGGTTGCAGATGGCTTCTGGGATCTCTCCAGATAGTTGGTTGGAGCTCAGGTTGAGGGAAACGAGTCCTTTCAACTGGCCAATCTTCTCAGGTATCACACCAGTGAAGTTATTCAGCCCTAGATTCAGTACTTTAGGAAAAGCACTGGGCATGCGATATTGCATAAATGGGCTCTTATTATAAACAGGCAGCTCAAAGACCTTTGGTGCAGTTTTGTCTGACTTCAGCATTGGCATCTCCATTAAGGCACTTGGAATTTCCCCTGTAAGGCTGTTGTTTGTTATGTCTAGATAGAAGAGCAAGTTTAGGCTGCTGATCCAGTCAGGTATTGACCCAGTGAGGTGATTGTTGTGTAAAAATAACATCTCCAAATTCGGTAGCTTTGATAACCAATGAGGAATTGTTCCAGACAATGAACAATCATTCATCGAAAAAACCTGAAGACTCTCAAAACCATCAATGTTGATATCCTCTGGTATGGTCTCATGCATGAAGTTGAACCCAAGAAGAAGGGTGGTGAGGCTCCTGGAACTCCGAAGGATCTGAAGTGTGCTTGTGATATTTGTAAGGGAGTTGTTAACAAGTGATAGGAATGCGAGGGACTTCAGATTGCCTATTCTTTCTGACAACTGGCCATGGAAATTGTTACTAGATAGCCGTATTGCAGTCAGCCTGCTGCAGGAGTATATGCTTTCTGGAACTGTGCCGGTGAAGTTGTTGTAGAGAAGATCCAAAACTTTCAGATTGGGCAGGCTTGTGAAGTTGACCTTGGTAAGTTCTCCAATGAACTGGTTGCTCTTGAGGTCAATTGTTACGAGATTTGTGCAGTTGCTCAGAGCTGATGGCAGCTCCCCTGACATGTTATTGTGTTCCAAATGCAGCTCCTCCAATCTCTTCAGGTCACCTATAGACTCTGGAATACTGCCGTTGAACTCATTCCCCCCAAGATCAAGGGTGACCAGATTTGTTAGCTTGCTGATGCCATTGACAGCACCTTCTAAACCATTGCTAGGCAACGAGAGGTGCTCTAACGAGGTAACTTTGAAGAGCTCATCTGGAAGAGTCCCATTGAGGTTGTTGTAGCCAGCACCGAGCAGTTCCAGGACGGAGCAATTACTGAGCCCTGGAGGGATATTTCCACTGAATTCGTTAAAACTGAGTTCGAGCACGGCCAAAGATGGCGCGCTCACACAGGGGGTAACTGGTATCTGCCCAGTAAAGCTGTTGGTGCTGGCATTGAGCGCGACCAGGCTCTTCATCACCTCCCATATAGCAGATGGAAACCTTCCTGTAAACAGGTTGCTCGAGATGTTGAGTACCTGCAGAGGCAGCGCAGGTGCTGAAGGTGGCAGCTCGCTCAGCCCTCCAGTCAGGCGGTTGAAGCTGACGTCAAGGACAACGATGCTGCTCGATGACACCAACTCCAACGGCAAGCCGCCGGACAGCGAGTTGCGCGACAGGTTGAGGTGGAGGAGGCCGGTGAGGTTGCCAAGGGAAGGCGAGATAGAGCCCTCGAGGCCTCGAGAAGCCAGCGAAACATTGGTGACCGCCCCATCGGGACCGCCGCAGGTGATCCCTTCCCAGGAGCAACAGTCCCTATCCCTCCGCCAGGAGGCCGTGAGGCCGCCGTCCCGCGAGAGCCCAGCGAGGAGCTGGAGGAGGGAGCTCCTCTCCTGCGCCATGCAGGAGCTGGCCGGAGAGGCCAAGGAGACGAGCAGCAGCAGGAGCGCCAAGCCGACGAAGGCCCTGCTGTTTGGGCAATGGCGTGGCTGCATCTGCATGGCTTTCTGAGGAAGCTAGCAAAGGGAACCAATGAATGGGCTGCTGGTGAAGAAAGAGCACGAGAGGAACGGGACACAAGCGGCTCACGGCTCCTTTTTGTTTGATCCTCTCCTCAGGTCGCTCTCAGGCGAAGGAAAAAGAAATGGGTCAAGGATTGGCTGCTATTGCCTATCCGGTGCATCATCGTCCACGTTCACACCTTGACATTTTCGCAGAGGCCGCCTGCGATTGCCTGTCGGTAGTTGACTTTTTTGTTCATGGATTGCCGTGTTAATAGTTAGCAGGCATCCATGATTAAGTAAGTACTTATAATGATCTATTACCGCACTCGTTTAATCTAATTGATCTCACATCACTTCTCCTATCCTGGTGTGTTAAGGCTGCTCATAGTGGGGAGTAACTTAGACTAGTAACATGCATACATTACTAGTTTATGTTACTATCTTTATAGTGCATTGTATCATACATTACTAGTCTATGTTACTATCTCTAAAGGTGCGGGTGGACGGCAAGGCGACACGCTGAGCAGATGAGCGGAGATACGCTGCTTTTGGATACATATACATATTTTCTATGCAAATATGGATGGAAGACGCGTGTTTCTAGTTTCAAATTGGACCAGTTGGTTCTTGTTCTGTGGCTCTACATCATCAGTCGCGGTCGGTACAATGAATACCCTGCGCAAATGGGCTAGCACCACTCTGGCACCCCAAATTGTACGGGGCAGAGGATTATAGAAAAAATGCAGTCGCAATTGTTTACTTTGCACACAGCTGATCGTAGTCCTGTCGATGCGGTCAGCAAGCGTCTGAGCGAGTTGTGAATTGTGAGGTCAACTTGACAGGCTCCACGCGGCTGACTGGCTGGCTCCTGTCTGGACTCTCTTGTGTGATAAAACAAGCGGGGGCTGCTTTGATTTTTTTCTTCTTCATCATATAAAAGGGCTGCTTTGATTTATTTTTTCTTCGTATAGAAGGGCTGCTCCTGCTTTGAGCTATCAAAGGGAAAAAAGAAAGAAAGTAGGACCTTTTCTTGAAACACAAGGGGCCACACAGGAATGCACATGTGCACACGAAAACGAACAGAATAATTCTACACTTCGTGAGGGCATGTAATAAATCGTTAAAGAGATGTTTGATCTCGGGTGGGATGGAGTACAATTCAGAGAAAGGATCTCGCTGCGGTGCATGGATCGGTATTCCGGCGAAATTTGGACTTGTCTTTACGACATGGGGCAGGTATCTTGTGGTCGACTGTGACAAGCTTTTCTCATGCTTGTCAACAAACGGAAAAAGTCCAAAATAAATCTTGAACTTGTAGGCGAAAACTAAATCAAACCCTAAACTCTCAACACTTGAAATCAGCGCACTGATTCCGGTCTATTTTAAACTTTGAGAGGATTTAGCTGCTATCCGCTGAATTGGGCTGGCCTATTAGTGGTTGTTTGGATAATAAATATTAGCATTGAGTTTATATAAAACGAGTTTTTACCTGATTTTTAGGAAAACCAGTTTTACTAACTTCTTTGTTAATAGTCAGTTTACAGAAGACCATGTTTGGGTTGAAAAGTGGGTTTGTCCAGTTCCCTATTCTCCGGTGATTTTCTTGTTCTCGACTTTCCGTCAATGGAACGCAGGTAATGGAACTGGGTAGTTGATCTCACCGGACGGCCGCGTACACGCACACGTAGAAAGTTGCTACCATGGGCAAGCATCTGCCGGCTGTGAAATGTACGAAACGTACACGTACGCGAGAGACACAAGAGGATTCATGGCAAAAGCCTCCTCGGATCCACCTTCCTCTTGGTCGTTCACGCTGCATGCACGTAGGCATTCATGGCCATGGCACCCCTGTCTGTGGCTATGTACCCTCGCCGTTGGGGTTAAGGACGAGAAAACCTTTGTGCCCACGGGTGCAAACCCTTTGGTCGACGCCAAGCTGCAGGCATATATGGCTCCTCCTGCTTTGTTGTCACGTGCCGACGGCTCGCCGCGAACGCTCAACGAGCTGACCTCGGCGGCGGTGACGACGACCAGGACGGACGACACGGAGGACGCGTCAGCCGTGGCGCGGCGGCCAGACGAGGACGTACAACCACGTGGTACGACTCACCGGTGAGCTGATCACAGCCGCCGTTGTCTCACTGACCCTCGAGCAGGCCGGAGATATGTATTCAAGGACGTGGCAACCACCAGCCTCGGTAGCTTCTCTTCGCTCATGAACGGGCCCGCTGGGATCGGCAACAGAGACGAACGAGGATACGCAAATCGAGTTTTTACAAAAACGACTAATAGTCGTTTCTCCACAAACGCGAAATTCTGGGTTATAGAAAATTCGGTTTTCCAAATCCACAGATTAGTTAGGCTAGCCAAACGTGGTTTTAGGTTGTTAGGCCGTTTTCTTAGTTTATATAGAATGGATTTTCTACAAACCACCTATCCAAACAACCTCTTAGTGTAGTTGATCGTGCTGCTCTGGTTTTTATTTGTTTTTTTTACTTTTTTTACTTTTTTTTTCTTTTTTGTTTTCTTCTATTTTTTCTTCATTATACTTTGTTTTTTCTCTGATTTTTTTCACCCAGAATATAATGGAAGGCATTCCTTCGCAAAACTTTTGTACGAGTACAACTTTTAGTTATGTATATGCTTCCAGAAATTTTCAGGATTTTTGACTTTCTTCTACTACAACTTTTGGTTGAGCGCCGTCGGCAATGTCGGGGTCAATGCGTGCGTGCGCACGATTTTTTAGAAGAGCATCCAACTCCAAGTAGAGAGCGATCGTGTGACCATGATTTTGGAGAAGGCGCGGGTGGAGGGCAACGCGACACGCTGAGCAGATGAACGGTGCTGCTTTTGAACGTTCCCTATGAATTTCTCTGCATTTTTAGACTAGGACGCGTCTAGCGAGCAACCGTGTGCTCGCTAGTGCTCCTGGACAGCCGGCTGTATTAGACCTCTTCCAATGCAAAGGTGCTTAGATGAGGTGCTAAATGCATTAAATATCTTAGCAACTCAACTCCTCAATGCATAGGTGCTTAACTTGTTGTTGCTAAGCACACTTTATTTAATGAGTTAACACCTAAAGTCTTTTATGCATTGGTCAAATTGTTTCATTTAAGTGGTTTGTCTAGGTTCTCGCGCTTGACATTGATTCTTCTTGGGTCACCAAAGCGCTCTCTCCCCTCATTAAATGTTGTGCCATGTCATTTTTTTGCTTACATGGAATGCTTAGCATCTGTCCACGGCGGAGCACTAGGAAGGGCCGCTTGATCCCTAGGTGACCAAAATCGAAAAGCATCATTCAACGCGCTCGCTTTCATGCTGGCCAAGTTCTTTTCCATGTGCTCTCCCACGCCAGTAAGAAAGCAAATAAGGCAATTAATTGCATTCCAAAAAATTCAACTAGTTAGATGCTATTGTGTAACTAGAAAATGCTCAGGATGCTAACTAATTAAATACTCATGTGCAACTAGAAAAGGTGAGGGTGCCAAGTCATTAGATACTCTTGGGCAACCCTGAAAAATTTGAAGATGGGACTAAAAAAATAGTTACTCTTGTGCAACTAGAAAGGCCTAGGATGTCAATTACTTGGATACTGTTTGTGCAAGTAGAAATGCTAAGGATGCCAACTAATTGAATACACCGTGTGATCCACATCGTTTGCATCCACACTATGCAACTAAAAAAACAGCAGCCTTAGAAAGACTATCCTGGTTGAATTAAAACAAAAGTTGCACATGATTTGATGCCTAGTTGTACAAAAAACTGCCACCCAAAAACAAAAAGTTAGGTTGGCTATATTTAACATGAAGTTGGCGAGTTCAATATAACAGGTTGCACAAGGAAAGCTGCCCCGGTTGCACAAATGGCTAAAAAACATTCACACAAAATCTGCAAAAACTTCTACACAACTAACCCAAAGACCCCTAACGTCGCAACATCGGACAAGGATGTCCGGTCTTGATACTGCCCAGTTTTGGGTGGACATGCATGGAGTGGCGGTTCATAGTACAATTCCAAATAAGACACTACAATCACAACTGAAAAGAACGTATGCATAAAAATATGTTGCTTTGGTGCAAGTCTGATAACAAAAATGTTTCAGTGCTCCGACGTCCTGTGGCGGAGACGTTATCTAGCCGACTTGGTATCACTACATTATGCAACTTCTCAATGGTCGTATCCAATTGAGAACTACTATGTGTGCAACTACAACTACTGTGGATACCAACAAAAAAAGTGACTAGCAAAAAAAGGATCAACTTAAGCAAAATCATCATCTAGCCAACTTAGTATCGTTGTGTTGTGCAATTTTGCAACGATCGTGTCCAACTTAGACTACAACCATGACCAACTTAGTACAACTGTGTTCTATCAAAACTACCAAAACCCTCATGTTACGTCTCCAATGTATCTATAATTTTGACTATTTCATGCTATTATAATATCCATCTTTGGTGTTTTATATGCATTTATATGCTATTTTATATGATTTTCGGGACTAACATATTAACCTAGAGCCCGATGTCAGTTTCTGTTTTTCCTTGTTTTTGAGTTTTACAGAAAAGGAATACCAAACGAAGTCCAATTGACCTGAAAATTTACGGAGCTTGTTTTTGGACCAGAAGAAGCCCACGAAGCATCAGATATGGACCAGAAGAGTCCCTGAGTCAACCATGAGGGTGGAGGGCGCCCCCTACCCCCTGGGCATGCCCCTACCTCGCGGATGACTCGGGGACCCCCCTGACTTGTTCCTGACGCCAACACCTCTTATATATCCCCAAACTTCCAAAACAGAACCAAGATCGGGAGTTCCGCCACCGCAAGCCTCCGTAGCCACAAAAAACCAATGTAGACCCCGTTCCGGCACCCTGCGGAGGGGGGAATCATCACTGATGGCCATCTTCATCATCCCGACGCTCTCTATGACGAGGGTGTAACACCCACGATGCGGCTATATCTCTCACGTGTCGAGGCACGACTTAGAAGCATAACCGCAT